AAATTATTAACGATAAAGTAATTCTGAAGAGTGCAGTCGTAAAAAAAATCGTAATGCAAGGGTTTAATTAATTCTCATTAGACATTAACCAACGAAAGTATCCAAAGATTTATCGACGAGAGCGTATTATGTCAAGTATCTTAGTGCCGGTGTTAAAATCCTTTATCAAATGCTGTATCATCCAAACCGAGCTACCATTCGATCAAGAAGATTTATTATTTCCTCGACATTTCACACAATCTCAATACTGAAAGCAAATATTTACGTCTGACAATGGATCACGCGCGTGATATTCAACCGAGCGTCAAAAAGACACTTCTTCGTACAAAAGAAACGACAAAGAACGCAAGGCTGGCAGCTGCGCGTGTATGTACGAGTCTATTGTTGTTGCCAATAGGCACGGTGGATGGTTGCATCGCGCTGGAACGTAGCATCGTACGAAACAACGCGGAGGATCGTCGTATCTTGGATGATCGGGAAGACGGCAAAATGCATGCGTGCACACAAAAGCTTTTTCCAGCTGTTTCTCCGGCCCCGGCGAGAATACTTTCGGCAAAATTGTCTTTTGCGACAGCAGCCGTGCTCGAATTCCTCGAGGAAAGGAAGACAGAAGTCGAGAGAGAAAAATAAGTTCCAACGGAAGGCAAATATAACGTGCGTATCCTTCCGGCAGTAGGTCAGCCTGAAATTTTTCAAGAGAATTCAAAAATCACGGTCCAACGACGCCGTCGCGGGATCCAATGCCGTCGAGCCGTAAATTCTGTGTAAGATTTTCCGAGACAGGATCTGCGACCGATTTCCATTTCCACGTGACAAGATCGTAGATTGCGCCGTCTCGATGGGTGGGTGGGTCACACGTTGGAAAAATCTGTCGGTGGATAGAGGACGCTGTTAATCTTCCAGCGTTAGGAAGTGGGTCGGAAAACAATAGGTATCCGTTCTACCCATCCACCTTGGCGTGCCGTTCTTACTATTTTTCTCTCCTCCCGGCGCTTCTCGAGTCGACTAGCTCGCCGTATCAACCGCCTTTTCTCTATCCTTGCTACTCGAGTATCATCCCCTTCCTGGCTCATCGATACGATACTCCTGGCCGTTGCTTCTCGAAGAATGCCAAGTGGGCATCCGTTTTCAAGAGAACGTGAATAAATCGATGATTTGTCAACGGTACTCGAGCTGATTTTGACGAGTCGTGATTACGACTGGATGATACGTTTCGTGGACGATTGAACCCGTTCGAATGCATTTCGGCCATTTCATATTTTGTACCGTTTATTTGACCGTTTCGAATTATTTGGAGAGTCCGTGATAAATGCAAACGGTCAACCTTTGACTGCCACGTTAATCACGTTTGCGTGACATTAACTTTTTACAGGCTCCAAAAGTCAGCTATGGATAGAGGACGAAATTATCTACTCGATGAGGTAGAATTTAATTAAATACTGTTGCATGGTTCACTGTGTACACGGTAATATATAATTATGAAAGGGAGAGACTTACAAAATATGATGATCAATCGACGATCACGTAATTTAAATGTCGTATATTCCGTTTGGTCACATCATTTCAGTGTACTGGATGACACGAGTGTTACTTATAACGGAATTTAAAGAGTTAACAAAATTTCAGAATTGGCGAAAGTAACATACTTTAACACATTTCAACATATGGTCTTTGTACCAATTTATACATTTATAGTTATACTGAATAAGAACAGTCAAATGTTATTACGTGTAGTATATGAAAGTATAAAAAATTATTATCGATGCGCCATTATTTTGAGCCTGTTTAATGTTCAGGATTTACCACGCTTTCTTTGGGAATGAAATATAAACGTAAAAGCAGCGTGGAACTGACAGGCTGTTTGTACGCTGCCATTGGATATAACGAATACTGTACATTTAATATGACTCATGATTCATGCTTTCTATGACGAAACGCTGCCTACATTTGAAGATCATTTAAATTAGATAACACGTTAGGCATCGAATACATATGTATAGACGAGTAGAAATAGATGTCACCATTGTTTCGTCGTAAAATAAACTTTCGTAGAATAATCTATTTTTGAGCAAACATAAAAACTGAAAACCTAAACAGAAGAAAAAAGTTGTTGGCAACATGATTGCTACTGCCTCACAAAGGGTTAATTACAATCTTAATAAAATATTATCGATAATTATAATCGAAATCAAGTTGGCATTCAAAACGTGAACATCATCCGCGACAGTAGAACGGACACGAATGTCATCGAGAAGAGAATCCGAATGAATGAAACACGGGATTCCGTCGGTTGTTTAATGTCATCCAGCGGCCTTGAACTATCATAATGTAGCTTCCCTATACCGAATGGAAGAGACATGTTGAATTCGGTCCCAACCGTTCGCAACACGGTACCGCGATTTAACGCAACGACGCGTCGAGTGGCTCGTATTCCATTTTAATGGGGGCGCACCGGAGTCTGCGGGTGACGATCGAAATTGTCCTGGTTTCTCATCGTAGCGCCCGTCGGAGTGTTCTACTAATATTTAACGAGCGAACACCCGGGGGAGGCTCGCCCACTCGCCCAACGATACACCGCGCGCGACTTTAGTTTCCGTTTCTGGCCTTGCGTACCGATAATTGTCCCTGCGCTTAACGCGTCGTTGATATTCTTGGAGCACGCTTCTAATTACGTTATCGTTCCCCTCTAATATTGCCACCGTTAATTTAACCTGGTCTTATCTCGACGGAAACGTCGCACCTCGGTCAGAGGAGGAATTAAGAATCGAAGGATCGATCTGGGATTTTCGATTCGACAGCATCTTCGTCGAGTAATTTAGAGTTTCTAAACTGTGGATGTTCGTGCAAATTTGTGTCTTTAAAGATTTAAATAGATACTTCTTTTTTTTGTCACTAGTTGTACGATTAATCCGCTAACTGCATTTGTTCTACTACAGTAGACGCCCACTTTATCACGTTAGCGACAATATCTGGAACATTTCTTGCCGATCGGCAGTACGAAACTTCTTTAAATAACATCCAAATCTTTAGAAGAACGGTGTAACAAAAAAAGATATTTACAAAAATTTTTAAATAGTCTTGAAATAACTATTGGTTCTTGATTGTTTTGAAACAAATTGTTTGTACAAGATACCAAAATGATGCAGTGAGCGGGTTAACAAGTAATTTAAAGTATTGTCTTCCTATTTATTGAATGCATTCGAATGTAATTGGACTAGAAATTAAACACGATTACAAGAGCAAACATTCTACGATAATCTCTTGTACTACATAGCAGGTTAAAGAATGAAAACTAGAGGGAACAGAAAATAAGAAGCTACGAAGGAAACATCGCTTTGCTGTTTTCTTCGCGAAACTAACAAGACAATCGAACTAGTACGTTCAGCTGAAAGCGTTTTCATCTACACCTATCGTTGGGTCAGCATCGAACCGCGCGTGTTCCCAACAAGCAGCCCAGATCATTGGAGGTTCCCTCGTGAAACGAATATTTCAAGGCTCACCGATCACCGATCTTTCGTTACCCTTCCGGACGAGTGCACACGTTGTTATCAATTTCACGGACGTTTTTCACGGTTGATTAAACCATCCCCTTTTGAAGCGCGGAGGCACCCCGACAAGCGAAGCGCGAGAGACGGTATTAAAATGTTATTAAATCCACTTGTCGTTTTACGACACATGCAGAAATTGTACGCGTTACCCAGCGCTGGCCAAATAGTCCGACGCGACGAGTCCACGGGACCAATGTTAATTGATTTCGACCCGACTCTGGCGCGATATGCGCGGCTCTTTCGACAATAGGTTAGATTTTTACTTTTTTTTTATTTCGATTACGTCAAAAAATTCCCCAACCGTCGAATTTCAAGTAACATACGGTATTCTCTCGTTAAGATTTACTAGCTAATGTTACTACTCTCAAATTGGACGGTACAGTATTTGACCTATATCGAGTAATTCACGGATTTGAAATTATGTTAACACTTAGGTACATGGAAAATCATTTACTGCAGTCAAATTTAATTTGACGTTGATTTATGTTCTTTTTATGTACGCGTTAAGTCGATTTTGATTAACTCTGTCTATTTCTCATGCCAATGGTCATTTTGGTATCACTCTACGAACTTATTTCTCCGGTTGAATACTATAACTATAATCAGGTTTAACAATAATTTTATTACAGAAAAATCTCGATTAGTGTTCAAAGGGTCTTCGGCACTGACAAGGAGAAGTCCCTAGGTGTAACACTGACTTTTTAATGACGTTGATGATAGAGCTTGGAATTCTAAATCCAATGATACTTGTTATAAAATATTTAATGTTCAGTGCCGAGGAACCTTATCGACAATTTACTGTATTTCACTTCAGCATACACACATATTAAGTAAATCCATTTCAATCGGAAAATAAACCCGAATAATTATGTATAACGAGAGAATACAGTAATTAAAAAAGGGAAGTAAAACAGTGACTATCAGCGAAAAAAGCACGGTTTCTCTTTCAAACGTGTTCCAGCGCAAGACATTTCATCGTAATCGCCACCGAGCCAAATATCTCGACGGAAACTTGTGTTTTAACCGAGAAATAACAACCGGAAAGCTTCATACGCCTGTTTCCTTTGCATTCGGGAACGACTAGCCGGCTTTGTTCGCGAATTTACAGTCACTGATCAATGAAAAAGCATCCTCCCGCCCGGTGCAGTTAACGAAAAAAGATTTCTCGACCGACTATCGCGACAAAAAGGGGGAAACGAGAACGATACTTTCCCGACGACATGCCATACGAACGGCTAAATCATTCGCTCAACGGCTGACGCATTCACGGGCATGCACAATTATTGTTCGCGATTCGTACGACAGCCTTGTAATATGTGTGTAATCGGGTACGACAGAGGAAAGCGGTCATGGCATTGCAACGTTTACGCGTGCCTGAAAGGAACGTTTAAGTATGCTCGTGTGCTATGGCTGCCTCTACAGCACATCTAGATCGTTCGTCGATCTACTTACCCTTCGTGAGAGAGTGGCGATTGTGTGCAGAACTGGACCTTTGGTTAGTTTCCTCAGAAGCGGCTCCAGCTGTAACAGAAAAACATATAACAGTTAACGAATGTTACAAAGGTATATAAATCTGCGTGAAATATAATTACACCGTGGTCAAAACGAATGTTCTATTCAAACGAGCACAAGTTACAAAATATTCTTACTTGTGCGTGCCGATGGCCACCATAGTTACATTCTTTTATAAATTCGAAACGTAGAACCTTTTCAGTGTTACCAGTTTTACAAACGATGTCATGTAATTATACCATTCTGAATTTCAAGTTACTACAGTTGACGAAGTAGTATAAGATCTACCGTACAGTCTAGAGATTACCACTGCGCGTACAAGTTATTAAGCACATGAGTCATCGACGAAAGTAACCAGCTATCTCAAAGCATTAACAAAAATCCCCAAAAAAACTCTTTCATTGGTCGTAAAACCATTCGGATGTAGCTATCAACTGAGTATAATTGTCTGACTGGCAATCGAAGATCTAGGCATATCTTTCTTTTCCCACTAACTACCCTCAGATTCTTTTAACGATCATAATCAGAAGTTCGAAATAGACTTAACGTCGTTTTCAAGTTTATTTTATGTTTATTTCCGCGACAGCTTGTGGTCGCGGCTATTGAAAGCAGACACCAAGTTTAAATACCGCCTAGAATGATGTGCCGTGAAAGTGTCAAGACGAAGAAGCACGTTTCAAGGCGTTTATCGCGCGAGTTGGTCGGACATTTTCACCAAGCGAGCCAACGCAACGTTTCGAATTCTCCGCAGCTACTAGCGAATCCTTTTCATCGCGTCAGGTCGCGTGTCTCGAAATACTTTGGAGTACAGCGGTGCTTGCGTCTGCCGCCCACGTCTAACTATTCATCAAAGTTGCCCGTTGAGAGAGACAGAAGACCATAGAATAGTTCCCTTTATGCTGGCATCCATTGACTCGGCGGAGGGCTAACTATCGCGATGGCTGCGTCGGCCGGCCACATCGCTAACAAGCTTATTAACGGTGTCTTCATTAGCCCCTGCTCTCTGCTAATAAACACTTTGGGACGCCGAGAAACACGTCTTTCGGACAAACGGAACGCCGACCTGTAAAATTCATTGCGTAAATAGCCAAAAATTCTCAGTGATAGTATTCGATCGCTTTGTCCCAATTCTTGCTGCTTCACTGAATTTAAATTAAGGATAGCACTTTGTTACGTGAAATTTCAATCCCAAGACAGAAAATTCACTAAAATGCTGAGGTGAAATCCAATGTACAGATTGTTCTCTCAATTTAATTATCTAGAGATTTTAACCTTCATCAAGATGGAATAGAGAAGAGTCTTAGAGGCGCTTAGTACAGAAAAGCTGAAATTAATGATTCTAAGATATTTTACTTCCTTTAATTCAGTTTAGTTATTTAGTAAAATAGCAACATTTAATTATTAGATATTATAAATAATAGAAAATCTTCAGAGGCTCTTCTATCCGGATGAGAGTTAAGAATCTTCTGATCATCCTAAATTGATTATTTTAAATCCTTCACAAGAATACTGCAATCATTTGTGTACAAGAATATTAAGCAAAAAGGTTCATTTAATTTACGATTTAGTAAATTAAACTGTAGAAACCCAAATTGCCATACGCTACGACGATCTGTTAATTGCAAACGTAACTGGAGAAATACAAATTGGTAGTAGTAACACGAAACGGTACAACTTACACACGTACGTCTAAAAATACATAAACTTAACACCGTAAAATCTCGGATATTAAAAGCTACAATAAAGCGTCGCTACGAAATCCTCAAGAATCCCAGCGCAACACTCTGCGCAGGAATTCCATTTAAAACAGACCAAAACTACCCCATAAAGATGCTCAACAATGATCCTCCTCGGGAGAAACATTAAGAAAAAGAAAGGGAGGATCCACACGTGGAAATACAAGCAAGCTAGTCTCGTTTTAGAGTCCGTAACGTATAATAATGCCATTTCCGTGGATGCTTACAATTGACGGGCCATTTTAACTAACGATCGATTCGGGTTTTCAACTCACAGGCGTGTACATCACGCCTAAAACGGCTCGTTGACACGTTCGATATTTTATACGTCATCTACAGTCACGATTAGACGATGTTTATGCAAATATCGATTTATGGGGATTAATTTACAGGAACCAGAGTCAAACCAAGATCTGTTTACTTTAATTACTATTCTACCAGGTTCCAAAGAAAATAAAGAATTCTTCAAAATTGATCAAACTCTTAAGTGTAGTAAATTTTAGAGAATCATGTGTGCTATAAATGCATAAAATCCGCAGTTTAGTCATGATCAATGACACGAACAGGAGAGTGGTTCAATATACCAGGCCACAATAGGCAGCTGGTATAATTCAGTGGATCACGAACGGGCGTGAAGCGATTGTGCTGGCCGCGCCAAGGATTCCATCGCTGAAGATTCATTTGCGCGAACAATCGGGCGTCGCGCACGGAAAAGTTATTGTTATTAAATCCGCGTTATTCCGCGCACGTTGAATTGTTAATTAATTTCCGTTCCAACGACATCTGCCGCCATTAAAATAAGCCCGGCGTAAAACGCCCGTATCGTAGGGGAATCTGTGTTGCGAGCAGCTTACCGAACCGTGAGCCTCCCCTCAGCGAATCCGAGTGCAGTAAGCCCTCTCTAGTTGCACGGAATTTATTTTCTCTAGTTAGAGTCCTCTATCCCCGCCAAATGTCCATTTTGGTTACTCGTAATAATTCTTTCCTCACTCATCGCTTTTCAAATTTAATGGACCGAAGAAACTACAGATACGACGATCGAGGAAATCTAAAGGATTTTGTGAGGCAGAGTAGAATTTTTGTAAACTGATTAACGACGGAATTTCTCAGGACTACTTGACGTAATTAGTGCAACGTTTCAGCTTGTTTCGGGGCTAACACAGGTGCTCAAACGTTGAGAATGCTTTGTCAGGAAATTCCTTCGGGGATGCCAATTTCTGCTTACTCGCAGCGGATCCCTTGAATGGCTACGTTGATTGATGGAATGTATACGGGAAGGTTCATTCGTTTCGTTGCCTATTAACTTTAGAAAGCGACGTTTTTAGTGATTACAGAGACAGTGGTGTAAGGGTCTGTCTGGACCCCTATGCATCAGACTTTCTGAAAGCATTTTGGGATGTATATCTACTGGAAACGCCTGTTATTTTATATAACAAGACATTAAAAAACTTACCTTAGAATGTAGTTGTGATACGACGAATAAGACAAAAGTAAATTTTGAGCGTTGTGAAACAAGGACATTGTTTACACTCCTCCATTCACTAACAGGGGAACTTTGGTACCTTGATGATTCCAATTTTTTTTAACTCCATAGGGTTGTACGAGATCTTAATAGAAGCATCGGGCAATTTTTTCATTTGTAATGTGTAAAAACTATTAGATGTCCAAAAACTGTTACTAATGCTCTATGTAAATGTGTAATAAAATGGTGAAAAATTCGTTTTTAAATAAATAAACAAATTTTGAACAATTTCATTACACATTTTTATAGAGCGTAAAAATCAATTAAATTTTCATTCTAAAATTTGTTTGATATTTACTATAGTTTTCAAGATATAGCTATAGGAAAATAGGAAGACAGACATTAATCTTAAAAAGGTGGTGTTTCACCCTGAAGAGCGAAATATATGTATATACCCCAATTCCTCTATTGATACTCCCTACAAACTTGCAGAGTTAAAAAAAAAAAATCGGAATCTTCGTGATACCGAAGTTTCCTTACAAAATGTCATGCAGAATTCACATCACATCTACAGAAACTGATACTTAATTTCACAAAGCGGAAAGTAAACGCCTCCATTTCATTCTAGAAACGCCAAACTTGCAGTAACTTTGCGGGCAGCGCGCAACGGAACGGAACCAGTCGTGCCAAAACCGATACCGGACCAGAAGCGCACAAACGACGAAGATTTAGCAACGGCGGGGAGAGTAACGTTCGCCTCTTACGAGGGCATAAATAATTCCGGCCGTTAAATTGGGCCTCGGAATCGCGTCGCGCCAAGGGTGCGATAACGATACGGCACACGACGCGTTAAATATTAAAGCATTACGGACCGTGAACCTCTCTTCGAGCTTTGCTCGCAATCCGCGGCGCCTTTGCGGAGAAACCGTTGTGTTCTAAACTTTGTATCTTGATTCATGATTCGCAATACTGCCGGACAAGATCAACGGTGTTGAAGATTCCATTACGAGTGGAATCGTTTTATCGAGGTTCCACTTCGGATATGTTCTTCCA